TAATTATTTGCAAGTAATGCGTTAATTCACCGCCAACCTAATTAAAACCTAAAAAAGAACGGAAATGGCTAAATCGACAGCGCTATCTAAAAAGAATCGGAATGGATTGTAGAAATTAGAAACAGTATAATCCCGGAGTAAATGATAGCCTATTAAAGAAAACATTCTGGTAATGTTTTTCAATTGGTACTTTTTTGAATTTCTTAATTATTAAACACAAAAACATAAAATCTAACAAGGTACGATGGAATGAAAACAAATAGAATTGAATTTTTTAGCACTTTTTCTCTTCAACTGGTACCTTTTGAATATATTATAATATTGAACCTAGAAACGAAAAATTAAACACGCACCTGGTTTTTTTCGTCATTCAAATTTAGAACTCTTGTTCATATATAGTTTTGAAGTGTTTTTCGAGTTAAGACACTTGTTAAATAAATGAATGTTGCGAGTTGTATTTTTTGGTATTAAAATAGCAAAAAAAACGTTGCCTAAATTCAAAATTTTCTTTTTAAGTTTATAATTAAGAAAAATAAACCACAATTTTTTAGTTTTTCACTTGTGTAATAGTTTATTTTGTAGTTTCTTTTTAATATATATATATATTTTTATTATAAACAATAGATTTATTGTTAATTTATAGTGTAATATTATTAAGTAGATTTGTTTGTTGTTGTTCTTGTTTGTAAATTTAAAGCAGTATTTCTTTTGTTTGTTTGTAAGTAGTAGGAGTAGTATGTATTTAAGAATAAGCCTTTTTTAATGATGATCTTATTAAAACAAATTCCCACAAAATAAAATTCAAATTGATAACTTTCGTATATTTGTTTTTTTTTTTGTTTTGTATTGGAATTCGTAAGAGACTACTTAAAAATTATCTTATAAAAATTTTATAAAAATTATAGAAAAATAATAAACATTAATTTGAAGCAATTTTTGTTAACATAATTTTGAAAAAAAAAAAAAGAATAGAAACAAAAATTATTGAATAAATTATGTAGTTACATAGTTGTTGGTCTTGAAAAATTGTTGTGTAAAGTTAACGGAGTAGTTTATTGTATTTTATGTTTTTTTCAGCAAAGTGCCTTTTTTGGAAATTTCTTTTCTTGTTTTTGTTAAAATGGACTTTTAATGAATTTGTATAACACCAGATTCCATTAGTTTCATAATCTTGTCAGCTATCGCAGGATTTTGTAAATGTCTAAAAAAAGTTTATAAAAAAGAAAAATAAATTATGCTTAATTTATCAAAAAAAAAAAAAACTTACTCTTTAACCGCATTAGGATCATTTTGCATTTGTTCCAATATCAAACGCATAGCAGGATCTTTTAGGATTTGTTGTACCTCTGGATCGTTCATGGCGTTCTTCAATACCTCCTGGGGATTGCGCTGCAAGTTGAGGGCACAGGCACGATAACCTTCTAAGGCCTCAGCATTATTTGGATCCAATTCTAAGGCCTTCTGGAATGCTGCCGATGCTTTCGAGTTCTTTTGCATGCCTTGCAAAATTTTACCCTTGCGTATGTAGCCCTTAATGAATTTGTCATCCAATTTAATACACATTTCACAGTCTTCTAAGCCCAAATCGAAGGCAGCCAACTTGGTATAACAAGCCGCTCTGTTACTGTACAATTTGGGATCATCGGGATTACGTCTTATGGCTTCTGTATAATGTTTAACGGCAGTGCTGTAATCTCCCTTTTTAAACAATTCATTACCCTTCTCCTTTTCCTCCTCGGCTTTAGCCGGATCGATATAGGCCTTTCGTTCTAATTCTTTAATTTTCCTCTCAACTTCGCTCAGCGAAGTTTTTACTTCGGGAGTACGATGTTCGGACATGGCTTTCTCGTAGTAAGTCTTGGCTTTGTGATAATCTTCCATTTTTCTATACGAATTACCAATACGTGCAAAAGCCTTACCAATCAATTTAAAATCAGCACGATTTTCACGTCCAATTTCAATTCCCTTCTCACAAGTCTTAATACATTCTTCGAATTCTTTACGTTCGAAGTAAACCGCGGCAATGTTATTGTAGTAGGTAATATCTGTAGGATCTAATTCTAATGCAGCGTTATAGTGTTTAAGAGCTACCTCGAAATCCTTCTTCTTATAGGCCACATTACCGGCTTCTTTTTCTTTTTTAGCTAGATATTTTTTACGTTCTTCTTCAGACATTTCATCGAGATTTGGTTCAGCTGGCTTGGGTGGCTCAGGTTTCTTCTCATTTTCTGCTGATGATTTTGAGCTAGTTGATTTGGTTGTTGGTGGATCTACATCCATGGGTGTGCCCATGCCTTGTTGTTGCATATGCTGCAATACGGCGGCAGTGACTTCTTGACGACCTTGCAATAGTATAGTATTTGTTGGATCGTATTTGAGACCTTTTGTTGCGGGGAGAATTATATACATATATAATAATTTAGTATGATATGATTTGTTAAATAAAACAGTGATAAACATCTACAAATAAAGATGATTAATCGGAATTACCTAAATATATATGATGCCAGATTAGTTTAATAACTAATTGCAAGTAATAATTAAATATATAATTTCTTAAATTATTCCTTCAAAAAATGTTTTACCAAATCTCGAAACATATATTATATCAAAATTATATTAATTATACCCTTCAACCTTGGTGAAAAGGGTATTTTTAATCTTGTTGGCCAAACCAAGATGAGTGACTTTTAGTTATACACTTTTTTAAAACCATAACATCCCATGGCCGAATACCGAAGTATAAGTCATGTTGTGTATTTATCGCTCACATCACAAGCTAGTTATCCTTGGCGTCCGGGGATAAACATGGTTGAAAATAATTGGAATCATTATAGCTTCCAATAATATATATACTCCAGAAATATGGATTTATATTCAGGCCTATTTTTATAACTAAACTACCGACATATATTTAAAAAAATTTCAATTATGTATATTTCAGGAATTTTCAACCATTTTTCCGAAATTTCAAAAATTTTTGAAGTTTCCATACGTATTTGTGAATCTTTCCATATATGTTATATATTTGCTTGCTTCGTGTAATTATATAACAATTTTTAATTTAATTTATATAATGTATATTCCAAAAATTTTATCAAACTTTTCTACATTTCCCATAAAATTTAAAAAATGGGGAAAAATACACACAAAAAACTCTACTTAAACTTCTGGCATCACTATGTCTCTTTTTGGTTTTGCATCAAAACGAAAAAAGCAAAAAACGCAACAATTTAAGGTTATGTTTATTTTTCATGCAAAATCAAAAAAAAAAAAAAAATGCATATAATGAACATAAAAGGTTCATTAGCATTTTAAATTGAACTTTGGAAAACTAATTATAACATAAAATACATTATCAAAAAACTTACCTTCATTATAGGCCTCAAATGCTTTCATGAAATCACCCAAACCGGTGGCAGCTGCACCTTTGCGAGAATATCCCTTGGGCCAAGAGGGATTCAGCGATATGGTTTTTTCGGCATCGTCTAAGGCTTCGGCATATTTTCCTGCTTTTGCAAAGGCAGCAGAACGATTGCTATATAGAACATGATTTGATCCATCTAGGCCAATAGCTTCTGTATAAGCGGCGATAGCCTCATCGAAATTTTCTGCATTTAAGGCTTTATTACCCTTTTCCTTAAGTTCATTTACCTAAAAAGAAAATTAATGCAATCAAACAAATTTTAAATTATAAAATTAAATGAAAAAAATATTTTAGTTAAATTAATCCTTACCTTATCCATAATACTTAATTAATATTTCAATTAAAATAATTTAATTAATTTCACTTTTATTTGTAAAAATCAAAAATTTTACACAGGCTTATTTAAGCTGATGATTCTTCTTTTTAATTCTAAAATTTGCACGGACTTTTCTAGAAGTAAAAAGGAAAATACACGAGAAATTAAAAAAAGTAGTAAAACGGTTGTCAAAAATAGTAGTATAGAATTAAAAACAGGGTTGTTCAACTTACATATATTTTTTTGATAAAATATAAATTTTTATACATAACATTATTATTATAATAATGTGCAGCAACAACAATTACATTATCATATAATTTTGAAGTAATAGAAACATTCTAATTACTTATTTATGTAATTCTAATTACTTATTTATAGTTGTGTTTTGTTGCTAACGTTCAAAGGCAATTTCATATAAATTTAAAATTTATAAACGTTAGGAGTTAACGTGTAAAATTATACAAGTTAATTTTAACGTCGATAAAAGTGCTACCAATTCAAAAATAAAATACAAATATTAATGTGTTTATGTCAAACAATAAAAAATATTTTAAAATAAAATTTAAATCAAAAAAAAATATCAAATAAAAAAGCCTTTTTTAAGAAAATGTAAATAATTTCAAGATTTAGCAGATTTCTTCTGTGGAGTGATGCCAAGTCAGGTAATGTTCGTTTTGTTGCTAACTTTAAGCGTTAACACTCATTGATAGCAACAAAACACAACTTATGTACACAATTACAGTTTTAAACTTAAGTGCTGCCTAGTTTCCACTAGTAAGTACTTATTTTTACAACCTGGTAGTATTTTAAGTACATATTTGACATTTATGAAAAAAAGAACAAGCATTTACAGAAAATATTAAACAAGCGGCGTTTCTTTTTTTTCGTGAAAAAGTTAAAAATTATTTATTCCGCACAATATAGAAAGAAAAAATAATTTAAAAATTTTGTTAAACATTTAAAAACATATTTTAAAGCTATATAATTTTTAATATATAAACTACATTAACCCTTCTTTGTTAGAGGTGGTTTTGACAACAACATGGCTGAATATTTGGCGTCCATTTTTGGCACAGAAAAAGACAAGTACGTAAACTTACACTTTTTATAGAAAAAATATTTATCATCTGAATATTTGCAATTTTCAGAGTAAATTGTTCTTTTTATTTTAAAATCGGAGCTTGCCGTCATGGTGATCGCTGTTCCCGCATACACAATAAACCTACCTTTTCGCAAACTGTTTTACTACAGAATTTGTACGTAAATCCTCAGAATTCGGCTAAATCAGCAGATGGCTCCCATTTAGTGGCCAATGTTTCCGACGAAGAGATGCAAGAACATTATGATAACTTTTTTGAAGATGTATTTGTTGAATGTGAAGACAAATATGGAGAAATTGAGGAAATGAATGTTTGTGACAATTTGGGTGATCATTTGGTGGGTAATGTTTATATAAAATTTCGCCATGAGGCAGATGCTGAAAAGGCGGCCAATGATTTGAACAATAGATGGTTTGGAGGACGTCCCGTATATTCGGAATTATCACCTGTTACCGATTTTCGTGAAGCCTGTTGTCGCCAATATGAAATGGGTGAATGTACCCGTTCTGGATTTTGCAATTTCATGCACTTGAAACCCATATCCCGTGAGTTAAGGAGGTAAGTTTGGTTAAATATTTTATTTCACAAAAAATAATATTTTGTTATATTTTTTCTTTAGATATTTGTACTCCCGTAGACGTCGTACGCGTTCACGTTCTCGCTCTCCTCGGCGCAGACGTTCCCGCTCTCGTGAAAATCGTCGTCGTTCTCGCAGCCGTGAACGTGGTGGTGGCGATAATCGCAAGGGACGTTACTAGACCTGTTATATACCGAAATCAAGCAAGCAACCGTTACTATTTCCAGCGATATCCGAGAAAATAAATTAAACTCCTTTTATATATTTAAGTTTCCCCTCTTAAAAATGTATACAAAAATTATATGTTTGTCTAGAAAAGCATCAATAAAACAACTTAGGCTTTACAAAAAACATAACATACAACAAACAAAGTTTATTACAATTATTTACATGGGTTTTATTAGATATTTTTAAGTGGTTTGCTGCACAACATTATGGGCTTCCTCGTTCGACTGCATTTGTTTTAGCTGTTTGGTCAGGTCAATTTGTTGTTGTAACACATAAGTATTTTCTGTTTTGCGTCTTTGCTGCCTTTCAATATCCCTCACAACTCCCTCATGTAACTTTTCTCTAAAAAAAATTAAAATACATTTGTATTACAATAAGTACTTTTGTGTAATTGTGGGATTATCCTGTAATTTACCTGTCATTGGTTTGCTTAAAGTGTACATAACCAATAATACCGCCTGATATAACAAAAGAGACGGCTAATGTTATTTTAGATGCCAAGGACATGGTGAAAATTTTGCAAAATTTACTTTAGTTAGTCAGCTTAACAAAACTAATTTTTTATTAGAAAACTTTTTAATTTTTTATATGAAAATGTCAAATAGGTTATGCCTACAACAACAAAATAAACAGCTGTTTTTTAGTACTATTTTTTTCTGCATACAAATCCAGGTGAATTTAGACCAGGTGATCTCATACTATCAACAGATGAATGCTTTTTAGTTCATAGATAAACAAATCTGTCATAATCGACGTTGTCAAATTCCATATATAAAAAATAATAAATTCGCACTCTGGTGGTACAAAGCTATTCACATTGAATTGATAGTTTATGTTATATTCTTTGGTTTATGTTCTTCTGGTATTTCCGTTTTAAAATAAATAGAAAAGGCGCAAAATATTTCTTTAGTTATAATTTTACTTTTAAAAGATTAATTATACCCTACACCACTTTAGTGGGGAGGGTATATTGGATTTGTGCTGATGTTTGTAACATATAAAAATATTCGTCCTAGACCCACCTTAAAGTATACCAATCGGCTTAGAATCGTTTTCTGAGTCGATTAAGCTATGTCCGTCCGTCCGTCTGGCTGGCTGGCTGGCTGTCCATGTAAACCTTGTGCGCAAGCTACAGGTCGCAATTTTCAAGATAATTGGATGAAATTTGGCACGCACGTTTTATTTGACCCAAGGACGAAGCCTATTGAAAATGGTTAAAATCGGTCCATTATTTCACCTAACCCCCATAGAACAGAACCCCCCGAAAAGGGCTTCTGAGCTCATAATTATGTTAAATATACAGATATATCGATAAAATACGGCATAACTAAGTTTTATAGAAGTCTTGATAACCCTGTCAAATTTCATAAAAATCGGGCCCCATTTGACCCTAGCTCCCATACAAAGTCCCCTTCAGAAAATTACTTGAATGTCCCAAATTAACTTATAAACCCAAATATCGCGATGAAATTCAGCACAATAAAATATTATGTCAATATAAATATATTCACAAAATTTTATCGGGCTTGGTCCATATTTGCCCCTAGCCCCCATATAAAGCCTCTTTCAGAAAATTAGTTTTTCATCCATAAATTGCTTAAATGTATCGGAACAAGGGAATATTGAAGATAAATGCGATATTATGAAAAATAAATCACATTTAATATTCATAACTGGTGTAGGGTATCATATGGTCGGCCACGCCCGACTATACTTTCTTACTTGTTTTATTTTAATTAAAATTTAAGAATGTGATCAATTTCGCAAGTTCAACATATTTAGTGTGAACGGGGATGTCCCATAAAGTTTTATGCTAGCATTGCCAATTTCCAGTTTAGGTTTTTTTCTTAAGGTTTTTTTCAGCCCACTCCTGGGAAGAACGTCTGCTAAGATAATATTCGACAAGTGTAAGATTTTATTTGTGTGGAAGCTGGAAAACTTTCAACGGTTCAATGCTGTAAGTTGTAATACTTTTATCATTAAGAGCGGGTTTTTGAGATGGTAATCAAATGCCAATTAATAATCAGATTAGTTAATCTAAAAATAAATTTAATCTTATGTTAATCCCCTTTGATGTTTTTGAGTACAAGATTAAACTTCGCAGTGTTGCCATACAAAACAACAGAAAACTTCACTGTTTGTTATCAAAACAATGCATATTTTATAAAAAGAAGAAGACAATTGTAAATTTAATATGAAAATTAATGAAAACTTAAATTAAAAAGCAAAAAAAAATGTATTTTGAAGTGTCCATAATTTATACTAATCAATAAATAGAACATTTTAATGTTTATATTTATAAAAATTTTATTATTTTTTTTGCATCAGCTGTTTACACTTTTGCATTTCGTGCTTAAGATTAAACCACCTCCATTGGGTGCTTAAACTTGCAAACAAAATTAATTAATTGAGTACTCAAAAACATCTTTCGAGGATTAATTTTAATTTAATCACTAATCTTTCACCTAAAGATTGGCCCTAAGAGATCTAGAGTCATCGTGGCGCTAGCTACTTTGTAAGCAGATTTTTATTTAGTTCTTTCTGCTTAGTGCTATATATAGAAACAGTTTATTTACATGTACAGTACAGTTTATTTAAAAGTTTTTCCGCTTAAAAGTAAAAGGATGTCGAGAGTCGTTTGGACGCAAGCTGCTTTGTAATCAAGATTTATATTTTGTTCGGGTTCACATGAATATTCTTAGAAGAATACTGTTTGAGTTTAAAATAATTCTTTCATAAGACATTTCTAGTTTTCCTAAAATATTGGGAAAAGTTTCCTGATGAGCTGGCTTAAGTAACCGGCGAAATGCGCATAGGAACTAGCTTCCTCACCATCAATACATTACAGTGAATTTATTTAAAAATTGGGATTGAAAGCACGATAAAAAGAACTCTTTAACTTATTTGAAAAAAGAAAGGATTTTATTTGAATGACACAATATTCGAATTTCTTCATCGGTTAGGTTCTTTAAGAGTACTGAGAGTTGTGATATGCCATTGGAAAGGTGGTAGTGGTAGCCTTTCCAATCATCAATAGGAATCCTTTCTTGCACTTTTTAAACGTGCTATTTATTAATCCATTTTGAGGTATCAAAACTAGTAGGAAAAAATTTACTGACAGGAGTAGTAGTGAAATCTATAGAGTTTATAGACCAATCTATAGTCCGTTCTATAGCCGTGATTATAGGCCAGCCTGCAGTAGACACAGTTGTCTAGTCTATACTAAAATTTAGTGTATAGTCCTAACTAAAGTTGCGACTAGGTTTCAATCTACAGTCGAGTTTATAGACTAGTCTATATACACATATGTATTGATAATAAAGGCATATCAAAATATTTGTATCCTAAATATTCATTAAGAAATGCCGTTTATTATAAATTTTCTATTAAAATCTAAAAATAAAGCATTATCGCAAGAAGGTTTAATGATTTATACAAAGTTTTAAAGAATGCAGTATAATCTTAAAAATGACAAGTAAAACAAAAACAATATACAAACATAAATATTCGTACAACAAGTACATAAAAAGAAAGCTAAATTATCGTTGATAAATTGTATGAATAATAAAAAAAAAAAAACAAAATGATGATAACATTATCTTTAACTGGCAGCAGCAACAAATACAAAAAAATGAACCTTTAAAAATGTCCTCTCACCTCTAATCACTCGTTTGCCCAACAACCCAATATACGCATTTCAAACACGTATATGTATCATTATATATTTGAAGGATATTAAAGGTGCTTTTCACTCCTTAATATCCCTTATAGTAGTATTTTGACATTATATTGTCTCTGTGTAAAAATTTAAGGGACTGTTGAATATTAGTTGTGTTTTGTTGCTAACGTTCAAAGGCAATTTCATATAAATTTAAAATTTATAAACGTTAGGAGTTAACGTGTAAAATTATACAAGTTAATTTTAACGTCGATAAAAGTGCTACCAATTCAAAAATAAAAATACAAATATTAATGTGTTTATGTCAAACAATAAAAAAATATTTTAAAATAAAATTTAAATCAAAAAAAAAATATCAAATAAAAAAACCTTTTTTAAGAAAATGTAAATAATTTCAAGATTTAGCAGATTTCTTCTGTGGAGTGATGCCAAGTCAGGTAATGTTCGTTTTGTTGCTAACTTTAAGCGTTAACACTCATTGATAGCAACAAAACACAACTATTATTATAAAATTTTTTTCTTAGGTTTGTTTTGTTTACTGTGCTGGTGACTGTCAGTCACCAGTAGACAACAGGCACGCAACATATGAACGAAATTCAAAACAATATTAAACATAATGTAATAGGTTGGTAGCCCCTACTCCAGAAACAACGAAGTCTTGGATAAAAAAAAAAAACACCGATGCGATTACAAAAACTGTATTTTATAGTCATGCGCACTGGAATAACTTTGTACTCAGATATTAAAGTTTGGGTAAATTCTATTGCGTCTCCGACGACATCTTCTATAACAGTCATGACAAAGAATGTTTTATATTTTGTGAGAATATAATATTTTGACTTGTTTAGCGAGAGCTCTTTCATAGCTAATACAGATTTTTCAAAACAATAGTTCAGTTTTAAGTGGAGACTAGTCGCGTCCAGAATATAATAGTCTAGTCTATAGTCGAGAAATGTTAGGATATTGTCCAGGCAATGGTAGAATCTAAAGTTCAGCTTACAGTCTAATGTCCCTATTTGAGACTATAGATCAGTCTATAGTCGAGACTATAGTCCATTATATGGTAGAGAATATAGGTCATTATACGGTCGAGACTACAGTCCATAGTCGGTACTATAGTCTAAACTATAAGTCGTGACTATAGGTCATTATATGGTCGAGACTATAGGCAGTCTATACTTGAGACTATAAACCAGTCAGTAGTCAAGTCTATAGTCCAGTTTATTGTCGATACTATAGTCCAGTTTCTAGTCATGTCTATAGTCTAATCTATATCCAAGACTATATTGTAGTCTTTAGTCAAGACTATAGTCAAGTCTACAGTCCAGTCTTTAGTCATGAATATAGTCTAGTCTACTGTCGAGACTATAATTCAGTCTATTGTCGTGACTATAATTCTGTCGAGATTTAAAGCAAATTTTCTATTAGAATACGTTTTGTTTTGAAAGAAAACATTATTTAAAAGCTCTGGCTTATTCATTTTACTCATTTAAAGCTACATGTCGTATTTTGCGTATAAAAAAAAAACCAAAAGTACAGAGTACACAGAAATAATCAACATTTTGTTTAACTTTAACAAAATTCCAACAGATTCGTATGCCGCAGTAGTAATTCACAGTTAAAAACGTACGGTTGTAGCGGAATAAATTTTCAAATAAAATAACGTACTTTTCAATAAAGTGTAACAACAAGAAAAACAAATATACAATAATCATAAAAACAAAACCATCCATCCATCCAAACATACATACAGACATATCCATATGTGACAAGGAATTGTTTTATGAAAACATGTATACAAACAGAGAAGATTTTATATATGAAAAGGATATTTTTTTGTACACAGACAAATAGACCTTTTGGATTAAATGTTTAAAGGATATGCAAAGAAGAACACACTTGAAATGTTCTACTTGTATTCAAAATTTTGAAAGTGTTACATATTGTCTACACTTTTAAACTTTTTTTTATTATTATTACTTTTCTT